CAGGACAACAGATTGTTTGTCTCTTTAGTGGCGGGACTTTCAACCGCTGAGGTGAGCAAGTTGGTGACTTTTCAATTGACAAATTTTCTTCGTATGAGTTTGCTTACTTACTTTGCCAAAGCTTAACATGTCCACCCTGTCGGCATAAAATATGCCAGAAGTGATTAGAATACAGTATTTTCAAAATATGTAAGTTTAAATATACCAAATTTTCTTTAACAACCAGACTAACTATTCAGCTAGTCACAGTTTGTTGTAAGCTAATATGCAAAGTGAAGCTCAAAATGTCCATCCTGTCGGCCACTTAGACTCGATAGGGTGGACATAGCATTCATTTGTAGCTATATTGCTAAAAACTAAAATGAATGGGGGGGTATATCAATGTGATTGAGGATGTAATTATATCATTTATTATTATTATATTATTGTTTTTGAAGTTGAATAAATGTTTAATTGTCATATTTTGTCATGCTTCGTGTGTTCTGCTTTATGTGTCCACCCCGTCATGTGCTGGTCTACCCTGTCATCTTGATATTATACTATAATATTTAAAATAATAATTCAATCATATCTATATAATCCAGTGTGTTCAATAGTTAGGTGTGGGGCCAATACCATCCAAACTAAAAACTGCATCCAAATATCACAGTGTTAGAAAACACTCTCTGTCTTGTTAAGGTTCCAGATATGCTTCACCCCTCCTTTTTTCCCCTCTCTCTTATTCCCCCTCCTTTAGCAAGAGTTTACAATCATCATTCCTGATAGTTGTGTGGCCATGGGTATGAGACAAATGATATACCTGGTCATTCTGATAAGTTTGTTTACTTGTACTCACACTTTTATAAGTACAGGTAATGAAACGTGGCTTGGGCATGATGATACACCCCATGCCTATGCCACGAATATATGTGGTGGAGATTTGCTAACTATACGGCAAAGGCCGAAGGGAAAAAGGGGTCTTGCTATGTCTGTACAAATGCCCCACAGTGTGGTCGGTCCTCGGGTAATTGTTAAAGCCCCACTACCGCAAGATTGGGAATGCATTTCTTTTATTAGTGTTGCAGGCTTGGTTCCTGCTTTGAAGACTTCTGGACAATGGAGGTGCAGACCAAATGGTACAATATGGTTTATACCCCAAGTGTTTGTAAGAGTGACAATCGTGAGTTCAATCCCTGACTCATTATTTTGTGTAGAAAGAATTGAAGGAGAACAGAAGTTGGGTGAAATTCCATTGAGCAAGTGTGATCGAGTTTATCAATATTGCCAGATGAAAAGTATTACATGCTGTCATTATTGTCTTTTGAATGCAGGAGAAGTTAAAATAGAGGACATGGGTTGAAATGTATCAAAGAATGATTATATTCCATATTATTATCTATGTATGAGAATGATAAATTTAGGATTAGGGAACTCTGCAGCGAGTGTGTATGTATTCATTGTTTATTTTAAACAAAAGCAGGCAACTGTTAGAAAACACTCTCTGTCTTGTTAAGGTTCCAGATATGCCTCACCCCTCCTTTTTCCCCCCTCCTTTCCTTTTTCTCCCTCTCTCTAACTCTTCTCTATACAGCATTCTCTCTCTGAATCCCCCCTCCTGTATCCATTTCTCTCTCTTGTATTATGTTTTAAATATCTCTTACTCATATGCGAGGTATGCATGCGCAAACGTATACATTAGTTTTCTTGGTTTAAATGCCCCAATAAGGACATGAATGTTAGGACTACAAGGGTAAAGGAGTTCGTGAGGAACTCTGAAGACAGTTCAGCTTTCTTCGCCAGGAAGTCTATTCCTAATATGTACATGTTTTTCTGTACATGTGGCCATTTTATACAAAACACATGTTCTTGGCCAAACATCCTATATGTGTATGTCATCCTATCCTCATTGGTTAAGAGGGTGAAACTCCCCTCGACATATGCCTATATAAGATCTGTATTTCTATGAATAAATTGAAGTATTGAGAATACATTTGAATGTGTGTTTTCTTACTTCCCGGCCGTCTATCTACACTTTAAGGAACTGAGAATTCTTCAAGGTGGCAAAGAGATATCGAGGGACAAATTGTTATTTATTAACACACAGTTTTCTCCAAATAAGAAAACATATATGTGCAAATTGTATGATTTCTTTAGAAACACATGGTTTACATAAAATCTTATGTATTTATAATTTAAAAGCAAACAAATAATCCTGTTTAGGAAAGGGACATCATACCACCATACCATAAAATATCATTTGCATCTTAATTTTACAATGAAAACGCATTTAACAGTAATATATATGTCCATGACAGGGTGGACATATCTTATTGTTTATGCTTTGAATAATGGCCCATACTTATCTAAAAAAAATGTGTGGGAGCTCAGCTAATATGTTTCTATAGTACTTGAGTGTCTACTATTTACTATTTATTACATGACATAAAGCGAATCGGAAATTAAAACCAACATTTTTGAGTATTGTGAGGGTTGAAATTAACTCTATGGTGATATTGACCCAGCACTTAAAACCTGGAAAAGTCAGATTTTCATGATATGTCACCTTTAAGGTGCAATACCTACTAGACATGTGCCGGTATTTGGTAATGCGATAAATCACGGTAATGAATATGCATGATATTGTTTTCGTGGGCACTTCAAAATACAGTGAATAACTATTTATTACAAATTAAGATTTTTTTAATGCATTTTAAAAATATTTTTCCCATCAACAAGTCACAATGCAAAACACCGCTGTATTCTGCGTGAAAGACAGATGCACACTCTCAGATTTTTGTATTGTCAGTGGTGTTAATCACAGTGGCAAGTACTTGATAGGCTATTTATTTTCACATTTTAATCTGGACTACAACATGCCCTAAATATTGTTTGAAAATATTTTGATTCTTTAGGCTATTGTTTGGTCACACTTTACATTAAAGGCTCTATTAATTAACATTAAATAATTCATTAGTTAACATAAACTGTCAATTAAATTATTTTAAACATTCATTAATCTTAGGTAATTTCAATATTTAATAACACGTTAAAATCAAAAGCTTATTATTAATGTTAATGCATTAACTAAGGTTAACTAATGAGATCTTATTGTAAATGTTACTTATTGGTCTTTATAATTCTTTTGCACTTTAATCTGTGTGAATTTTTTAACTTTAAACATATTTTGTGTAGTTATTTCTTATAAGAATAAAGTTATTAAACCTGTTATACTTTGACAACATTTTTGCAACAAAATTTCAGATAATACAGTATACCTTGATAAAAACTAGGGCTGCCTCCTAATTGTCGACTAACCGTTAGTCGACCAGAAGAGGCTTGGTCAACCAATTTTTTTAGTCGCTTAGTTGCAGGGGGATAAAAAAATCCACAGGCGAAGTCACGCAGTCCGTAACGGACAGATCATTAACGGCCGGTCTATGGTAATAACAGTACATCGAGCAGGACATCCAAATGCTCACCTATCATTCATCGTCCTCAAATACGGCGTATCATCTGAAATATGTAAGTATTAGCAACTTTACTTTACATCTGATGTTGAAGCTGAACAGTAGCACTCACTGCAGGACAGATGGCGCCGGTGCACTCACTTACTCCTAAAATACTCCGACATTTTTGGTCATACAGATAAGAGTAATACATCTTTTGAAAGGCTTTTGTAAAATAATGAAAGCAAACAGGATGCGCTTTCTGCCATCTGTCTGTGAACTTGAGCGCGAAACTCTGTGTATACTTGCCTTACAGATAGCAAAACATATCTATAGTGAGCGAAATGTCTACTTTCAAATAAACAAATTCAAATAGAAAACAAATATTCTCAGATTATGTAATCCGTAGGAAACATGCATACAGGCGCATCCACTGCTGTAGAGATGAGTCAGTGTCGTCGACTTCATCTCTTAAACCGAAAACAAAGAAAGCACTATAGTGTATCAATAAATTATTAAAATGTTAATGCAGCCTCCTTACTGTTTTTTTTCCTGACACATTCATAATCATTAGCTACTGCGGTGCGCTGTGGCTAGCTTTATACATGTGCTTATATGGTAGGCAATTAAAGGCTCATTATAATGATTTAAATGGTTTCTTAATAAATGTGCAATCAGTCAACTAATGGTTAAAATGAACGACTACTAGTCGACCAGATAAATCTTTGGTCGAGGGCAGCCCTAATAAAAATATTAGCAATTAATTGCAACATGAAAATTTGATACAGGCATTTGCCTAATACCTAGTATTTTGGAGTGTCAGACAGTTACTTGCGCTGCATTACTTAAATTATTGTACGTTGTGACGAGCGTCCCGAAGCTGCATCAGCGTCGCCCTGGAAACAAGCGAGGAACACCTGGCTGTCCTCATCACAGGCTGATCGGTCACAGCTGCAGCTCATCAGGCGGCGGCCACATAAGCCACACAAGCCCTACCATCTGGGAGACTTCTCCATGAGACTGAGCACTAACTCGCCCTCTCAGTTCTCCCACAGACAGCAGCGTGTGACTGACCAGCCCCACAGGAGCACTGCACAGACACTCTGCACTGGGAAGACGGAAGAGAGCACTCACGGCACCGGAGCACCTACCTGGACCTTTCTCCCTAACACCCACCTCCCCAATAAATCCACCCTCCGGGGCATTTATTAAGATTTCCTTGTCGTGTGATTCTTCACCCTGTGACACTGGTGGAGAATGCAGGCAGATCAGTGAAGAATCACAGACAAGCGATTTTCCTCACCTCACCTTTTTCCTTGTTTTTTTCTCTGGGTTCTGTCACAGGCGAGCGCTCCTCCCCCAACATGGATGAAATCCTCCAGCGGCTCACCAAGGTTAGCATCCGCCAGCAACAGATCGTTGGGCACGTCGCCACCCGTCAAGGGGAGACAGAGCAGGAGCTCGCGGCCCTCCGTGCCGCCGTCACCCAACGCGTTCCGATGCCGGACTCCCGAGTACAAGCTGCAAAGCTGCTACCCAAGCTGACTCCTCATGATGACGTAGAAGCCTTCTTACAAATGTTCGAAGCGACGGCCACCACGGAAGGATGGCATAGGGACGACTGGGCACGGGTGCTGGCTCCCCTGCTGACGGGCGAAGCTCAGCGTGCATACTTCGCTCTTCCCGCCCATGCAAACGGAAGTCCCCGCAAGTCCCGCACGGACCTGGCTGGCAGGCTGCATTGTGCACCGCGACCTGCCGGTTGGAGCTCCAGAGGTGGAAGTGAAAGTAAATGGAAAGCCGTTCTGGGCCCCCCGAACAGAGTGTAAAGCCTTCCTCCCCATAACCTGTGTCCACGGGGATACACGACAAGTTCCCGCTCGCAGAGTGGCCATTTCGGCCACTCTCGGCACCTGGCCGGTGGAAGTCGGGGTAATGAAGGATCTTCCCGTCCTTATGCTGATCTGGAGAGACTGGCCCGCGTTTGACCGCCTGCAGGCCACGGTTACGCAGCCTGCCTGCCCAGGAGGGGGCCGCCGAAGAAGAAGGCCCACGACAGGACCTCGTCAGCGGCCCGTGCTTCTGGCCTCGGATAGCGGGAGAGAAGGTGAGTCCCCCTCCCAAAATCCTAACCTCTTCTATGATGTGTTCCAACAGGTGACGGGAGGGGGCTCTTTGGAAAGGAACAATGGGAGGACGACAGGCTGAAGCATGGCTGGACCCAGGTCCAGGTCATCGAAGGCAAGGAGGTTCAGCCTGGGCCCCACCCTCTCCCGCATTTCGTCATCCAAAATGGCCTGCTCTGTGTCGCGCAGCGAAGGGGGGATGAAAAATTATTGCTGGTGGTGCCACGCACAACAACGGAGACCGTGTTGGAGCTGGCTCACTCACATCCCTTGGCAGGGCATCTCAGGGCCGGGAACACCATCCAGCGGATCCGTGACCGCCCAAGTAACGTCACCAAGGACGCCTCCCCCCAGTCCGCTGATACCGCTGCCCATCATCGAGGTGCCCTTCGAGCACATCGGGATGGACCTTGTGGGGCCGTTGCCTAAGTCTGCCCGGGGACATGAACACATCCTGGTGATTGTTGACTATGCCACCCGGTACCCCGAGGCAGTTCCCCTCCGAAAAGCCACTGACAAAGCCATTGCCCAGGAACTCTTTCTGCTCTCCAGCCGAGTCGGCATCCCAGCGGAGATCCTGACCAAGGACTGGTCGAACGCTTCAATCAAACGCTCAAGCAGATGTTGAGACGGGTGGTTGCGGAGGACAAACGCGACTGGGACCTGATGCTCCCCTATGTCCTCTTCGGGATCCACGAAGTTCCGCAGGCCTCAACTGGCTTCAGCCCCTTTGAGCTCCTCTTTGGCCGGCAACCCCGCGGCCTCCTGGATGTGGCGAAGGAGGCCTGGGAGCAACAGCCGGCAGCCCATCGCTCTGTGATCAAGCACGTGTTGTGTGATTCTTCACCCCGTGACAACGTGTAACATTAACATGATATCAATATTTATTTTTTTAAATATAACTTTTATTGTCAATGCCGGTATACTGCAACATCATCATTTACTCACGTCGTACCAAACCTGTATGACTTTTGTTTTGTGTGTGTGTTCATAGAAGTTCCATAGAGTTATTGAGTGATCGATTACATCATTTCCATTTCTGTCAGGACCACTATCATCAAAGATGATTGACAATTAGCATACAGTTTGGATTGGCGGTATGGTTCTGTTCTAGGCAAGAACTCCCTGCGCATCCATGCAGCCTAGCATGGATAAGAGCAGGGAGAGCAACAATAATCCCCCAGGGTAAACAGAACAGAACAACATAAATGTATTGCAGATAGCATTAAGGTTCAATAATGTAATGTACATTTTAGGAATTAGTCTGATTCAAAGGAGAATCAGAAGGCTAAATCCTGACTGACAAGAGGGGGAGTCGGGGATGGAGGTGGGTAATTAGTTATTGAGCAACGCAAAGCTGGTGACTGAATATATATATATATATATAAGTGCTGTGATAGGTGTCGCATCCCTATAGGTAGACATGGATCAGCTGAGAGTCAACTGATGTGAGCTTGAATAACGTGACCTGACAGAACTGACGCTAGATTTCTGTCAGGACCACTATCATCAAAGATAATTAGCATAGAGTTTGGATTGGCAGTATGGTTCTGTTCTGGGCAAGAACTTCCTGCACACCCATGCAGCCTAGCATGGATAAGAGCAAGGAGAGCAGCAATAATCTCCCAAAACAAAACCATATGCCATATCCCCGACACAAAATTACAGCGAAAATCTCAAGCCTTAAGCAACAAGCATGTAGCCTTTACCAATTGTAACAAGAATATTGAAAACCCGCATAAGCCATAGCCACAAGCATGTTGACCTTAACCAGATGACCTAACGAGTATGTTGCCAAACCTGAAAAGCTTAATCAGCAACATGTTGTCAATAACAACCAGATAGCTTAGGAACAAGCGTGCTACCAATAACAACCAGACAGCTTAGGAACAAGCATGCTACCAATAACAACTAGGGCCTAGGCAGCTTAGGAACAAACATGCTACCAGTAACAACCAGACAGCTTAGGAACATGCGTGCTACCA